TGAATTAATTGAAATTTATTTTTTGTATATTTATTTAGGTTTTTTTTCAATCTGACTTCTATCCTAGACATTCAGTGATCGATTAAATATACGAAATAAATTTTGTTTGAATAATAAAGCTGATTTTACAGTAGGTCTTTTTGAAAATTATGAAGAAGGACGACTTGAACAACCAAAAGAAGTTTTTGTTGGTAGATGGGTAAGTCTTTTTCGCTTTTTTTTTCTTTGAATAGAAATATTTCATATTTATTAAAGGTATGTGATGGAGCACGTCATTTAGTTGATAAATATGATGTTCGAAAACGTTATTTTATTGGTATGTTATAATAAACTAAATTTAAACGTTCAAAATAGAAAGTTCGATAATGGTATTATTGAATTTTATAAGAGAACTATCGTAAATGATGATTTTACACTATTCCCATGCAATAAGATCCTCTTTAAGACAAACCTAAGTAAATCAATGTATAGGACGAAACAGTTTTGTTATGTAGATATCTAATTCCAGTTCTTGCTTCAGAATAATCATAGAAATTCATGAGTCTCTGTAATATTTTGAATTTGGCCAATAGCATATTTACCATTGGCGATAAGTTTTTATCCCAAATTCATATTAAATCAGTGGCGATTGTTCTCTTACAAGGAAAGTTTTCCGACTAATAAATCAGTTTTTTGCGTCGAGACTACGTGCATGATGTAGATCCAAATGAGCTATGAACACTTTGAAAAGAGTTCATGCCCTTAGGTTATTACTGTGGAGATGCTACACTATTACGATATGTTCTAAAATGAATGCTTTGAATTTCGATTTGAAATTTTGTATAGGGATAGATCTTAATGAGAATAGTTTCAAGTCTTTTGATTTGTTTCTATCCGGAAATAAGAATATAAAATCTATTGATTTATATGAGCAATGTAAAAGATACACTATTACGATAGTTATATCTTTGGATAGGAATAACGGCAAGATCTGAAACACTCACGTTAAGGCGTGTCTCTATGCAAAGTTTCAAGTCGAAACTCACTTTTTTTGCACCATACAAATCATTTGAAAAAATACCGTAAAAACCCAGTATCTCCGTTGAAATAAGCTAATGACACAGACTCTTTTCAGGCTATTCATAGCATATTTGGTTCTACATAATATACATAGTCGTGATTCAAAAGTAATTTATCAGTTGAAAAAATTTCCTAGTGAGTAGTCGTATTTTTAAAGATTTTCGTCAATACTTGGCAATACTTCTTCTAATGACCTTGCAGTGTGACTAGACAATAAGAATCAATCATTTAAACGCAAACTATGCTACTTCTAAAAGCTATGAATTAAGTATCTATAAACTAAACAGTAATATAAAATAGCCTATCGGTCATTCAAAAAATCTAGGAATCTCAAGTGTATGTTATATTGATTGAAAGAATTCCGTAGATTGAACAATTTATATGACAAAAAAAACCATTATCGTTAATCACGAAAAATGATCAGTTCAATGAGCTCTTACAT